TTCTGACTCTTGTTTTTCTGACACCAGTGTAAGAAGCACGTTCTCGTTCTAATAATACTGTTTTGTTTTCAACATTTAAATTTGATCTATCCACAGTTTACAAGTGAAGACGATGGTGAGGGTTCCATCTTTTTTTTTTTTTTAAGTTAGATAGCCAGTTGTCCCAGTGTCATACATTGATTAAGCAATTGTTCCACCAGTAATTTGAAATGCCACCTTTATTATAATCAGGATTCTTATTTGTTCATCTTTTGAAGCAGTAGCATTTCAGAATTTTCTTTATACAGATTTTGTCACTTTTACTTCATAATAGGAATCTTATTTTTCTTATTGCTGCTATAAATAATTGAGGCCTGGTTTTCTTTTAAATCTCCTGTCTTTTTGGTTTGTGTATGTGAGTTCTGTTAATTATGTAGTGTTTTTGAAATATGGTAGCATCTTGCACCATGATTTTTAGAAGACATACTATATTATAGAGCTTATGTCACAGTAATACTTATAACATTGCTTTATTTCTTGTAAAAACTATCTGATAAACCTTGGTACAATTATATTCTCAATTGTTTAACCAAATCCCTGAGGCATATGTTTAGATTATTTTTAATCTTTCCTTGCTGCCTATAATACTAAAATGAGTTGCCTTCCTAGTACAAGTGTGATTTCACATATGTCTAAGTAAAGTTATAGGATGAATTCCTAGAAGTAGAATTACTAGGTCAAAAGGGTGAGTACAATTCTATTTTGGTAGATATTACCAAATTGGCCTCCACAGAAGTAGTACTAGGTGATGTATTTTCCAACAAACTCAGTCTACTAGCGCAGTATGGATTATGACTCCATACTCCGTGCATTTATGAATTTGACAGGTATAAATTGTTACTTCCTGTTTTTTTCTTGTTATTAGTACCAGTTATTTATATAGTAGGATTATGTAGTCTTTTGTGATATGTGTTTCAACATTTAAATTTGATCTATCCACAGTTTACAAGTGAAGACGATGGTGAGGGTTCCATCTTTTTTTTTTTTTTAAGTTAGATAGCCAGTTGTCCCAGTGTCATACATTGATTAAGCAATTGTTCCACCAGTAATTTGAAATGCCACCTTTATTATAATCAGGATTCTTATTTGTTCATCTTTTGAAGCAGTAGCATTTCAGAATTTTCTTTATACAGATTTTGTCACTTTTACTTCATAATAGGAATCTTATTTTTCTTATTGCTGCTATAAATAATTGAGGCCTGGTTTTCTTTTAAATCTCCTGTCTTTTTGGTTTGTGTATGTGAGTTCTGTTAATTGAATTATTTAATTACTTAAAAATAATATTTCAGCTGTCTTGGGATTTCTAGATATATGATTTGCAAATAATGATTTTTTTTAATATCTTACCAACTTTTATACCTACTATGTTGGTTATTACGTTTGCAGAGTGGTAAGGAAAAATGACAGCCACAGATATCTTTGAATATTCTTGATCAGGTTGACGAGGTATTTACTCATTCCTGTTTTATTAAGAGCTGGGTATTGAATTTTACCAAATCCCTTTTCAACATGTATCAAAATCTTTATGATTTTCTTAGTTTAAATCTATTAATGGAGTGAATTATATTTTCAGATTTTTAATATTAAATCTTTCTTCAATTTTTAGAATTAAACACTTGATTATAGTATTCTTTTGACATTTGAATGCATGAATATTACATTTTATGCTTAATATTAGACTATATTCAAATATTTTATTTAGGATTTTTATATCAGTATTTCTATGGGACATTATTTTTTTTTTCTGTGCTATGCTGTGGGGTTTTCTTATCATTATATGCTAGATTCCTTGCTTTCCTATGATTGTGTACTGGAAGAGCTTAAATCGCATTGGAGTTATCTGGTAACTATACATTCGATAGAGTTAACTTATGAATATATCCCTATCTGGTGTTATTCTAGAGAAGCTCTTTGTCAACTTACTCTATTTATTTATTTGAAAATTGACCTTTTTAAATGTCCTGTAATCAAGTCTTGGCCATTTATATTTTCTTAAAATCCAGAGTGTTTATATTTTTGCACAAAAACGAACAAAGCAGTTGCTTATGACTATTTTAATTTCCTTTTACATGTAACTACCTCTCTTTAGACATTTCTTACTTTTTATGTTTGTGCTTTGTTTCTTCACTGTTGATTAGATTAGGGAATGACACTCTTTAGTTTTTCGTAAGAAGGAGCTCCTGAATTAATTAGTTCTAAATGTTTTTTGTTTGTTTGTTTGTTTGTTTGTTTAGTTGGAGTCTCACTCTGTCTCCCAGACTGGAGTGCAGTGGCCGCTCCCGGCCACCACAGCCTTGACCTGCTGGGCTCCGGCAATCCTTCCGCCTCAGCCTTCCAAGTGGCCGGAACTACAGGCGTGTGCTACCACGCCTGGCTAATTTTTTCATTTATTGTAGAGATGAGGTCTCTCAAGTTGCCCAGGCGGGTTTTGAGCCCGCGGGCTCAGGCAATCCATGTTTTGTTTTTTAATAGTACTGCTTTAGCTTTTTCACTATTGTTTTTAGATCTTTTGCAATTTTTAAGTAACCTTCTTGACTAAATGGTTGTTTATGAGAGTTTTCTGGTTTAGTTATGAATATCTAGTTTAATGTCACTATGACCAGCAATGGTGTATATCACTTTTGAAATCTATTAAAGTCATCTTTGTGGTGATTTGTGGTAAATTTTTATGAATGTTCTTTGGGCCTATTAAAGGTGTTTTTAAAATTGGTTTTGGAATAAAACAACTAGATCTGTCTTATTATTAGGTCCTCTATATCCATACTGAATTTGTGTCCACTAGATTTTTTGTGACTGAGAGAAGTGAATTAAAGTCTTATAATTCTGTATTTCTGTCAGTATTTCCTTTAGTATAATTTTTGCATTATAACTCTCTCCTGCTTGTCTTTTTTTAAAATGATTTTTGCCCTGGATTCCAAATTCTATACATTTTGATCTTGATCCCTGCTTCTTTTGGATTGAATTTTTATGATCTACCTTTGCCCATTTGTTTTTAGTCTTTCTGAGACATTCTATTTTTTAAAATTGTTGATTTTTGCCAATATGTATTTATTAAGAAGACAGTTGTGTCTGGTTTGGGTTCTCATTTGTGACATGCTTTTTGTTTTTATTGTTTTATTTTTATATTTCATTAAGTGTTTTGTTCTAAGGATGACCTTTAAAAGTTTAAATAGTATACTCAGTCCCTACGATAGTTGTTACTGGCTCTGTACTGTGGACAGTCAGGACATCAGCACATTTTTCCTGTCACCATCCCCCTTCCCCACATTCTAAACTCCAGGTGATTATTTTTGCTGATCTTGACCTTCATATCAAAATGTATTTGTACCTCTACTACAAGATTTATCACGTACAATCTTTTGACTGTTGTTTTCCCCACCTTCTTCCTCTCCTAGAACCCTCGTGTTGTCCACTATAGCTCGTTGCCATTGCCATGGTTAACATTCTGTTCTGTTCTGTTCTCCAGTCGTAATCTCCAACTCTCTTTCGGTCTTAGTTCTTCACTTAACTGGATTTACAGAGAAAGTAAGCAGTTTTTAAAAGTGAACTATCCTCGTGGTTTTTCTTTTTTGAGAAACTTACCCATGACAGGTATTTCTGCCATGAAACTTCCTTTTACCTTCTCTTCTTCTTGCTGATAAACTCTGTTTTAAAACTTTTTTTTTTAAGTGATCTATCCTCAAAAAGAGTTATCATCTGTGTACTGATAACACAAATGCTCATTAGTCCTTTTGCTGGGGTTTAATAGTTTTTGCATTTTCACAATTGTTTCTTTGATACTTGAGTGACAGACTAATTGGATATATAATTACTGTGTCCTGCTTTATTTCTTTGAGGACTTAGGATACATTACTCCTGTCTTCTAGTGTGGAATGTTTCTCTGGAGAAGTCTGAGGCTTGCCTGAATTGTCTCATACTATGTTCTTATGTGGATATCCAAAGAATTCCTTGAAGTCCAGTGGTTAACTGAGGGGATAAGGGGCAGAGACTTTGTTAGTACATAGACAGATACATAGATGCATACATAATAGATGCATAGATATAGATAGATAGATAGATAGATAGATAGATAGATAGATAGATAGATAGAGATACACAGATATATAGAGATAGATATCAGTGTGAAATTTGTTTGGGGGGAATGCAAAATGGTACAAATTCAACTTTATAAAATTTACTTCTTTACAGAATAAAAAAAGGTAAAAAGCAAATATGCCAAATGTTAACATGACTTATATGTAATTAGTGCATATAGGGCAATCTGCAATATTATTCTCTGTGGTCCAGAGTATGAAATATTTCATTTTTTATTTTTTAAAAATATCATGTAACTATAAGTCAGGGAGCACTTGTATGTTTTAATAACTCAGTCTAAAGTATATGTAGTTGAAAATCACATTTTTTTCATGATTGATCACAACATGCATCCGTGTTTCCTCATATATTGACAACTACTCATATAAAACTTTATTTTTTCTGGTGTGATTTCCTGATAAGTTTACAGAAAAATATTACAAAATACGTTTATGATTCTAAAGTCCTATGGTTGGGGATGCTACCATTTTAAATTTGGAATCTATAGGGTAGAAATTAGTGGTAGTGGCTCCAGAGACTAAAAATAAATGGGATATCTGACTAAACTCTGTTAAGTGACTTATGTTTGCTGGTCTGGGATTATTTTGAACAAATACTACTCTAGACATACTAAATAGAATTTTGGCTTAAAATAGCATGGTAGTTGGAAGAATTGAGTATTCTGGACTTTTTTTTTCCTTCTCACTCTCCCTTTTTCCTCCCTCCCTCCCTTCCTCCCTCCCTTTCTCCCTGTCTTCCTTCCACAGGGCTCTCGTAAATACTAGTTATAATAAAAGAGAAACAAGTAACCTCCATATTCTTATTTTCATTCCATTCTAGTTTCCAATTCTAAAAGAGTTTTAAATTTGTTTTGCCTCTGTGTTCAGGTATATGTCTCGAGTCCACGGTATGCATCCAAAAGAGACCACCCGTCAGCTGAGCTTAGCTGTGAAAGATGGTCTTATTGTTGAAACTCTAACAGTGGGCTGCAAAGGTTCAAAAGCTGGTATTGAACAAGAAGGCTATTGGTTGCCAGGAGATGAAATTGTAAGTATATTTTATTTGATAAACTTAGAGATGTGAACTTTTAGTCTTTAAAAGTTTGAGATTGAGATACAGCCTATAGAAATTCACTTTCAGAATTTTAAGAATGTTTTATTTTAGCATTTTTGTAAACATGAAGGCTCTACATTGTAGCATGAATACTTTCCTTACTGATTCTTGAAGAGGTAACTCTTTCACAAAGATCCTGCATTTTCTGTCTACATTACTTTGACTCTAAATAATAGAACAAGCAAAAACGCTTTCAATGTACACACACTAGTGGCATTCCTGTGTGTTGTCTTCTTCAATCAGGATTAATAAAACAAGATTTCAAAGCAGGATAATGTTTATGCCATCTAGACACATTGAAAGCGATGACCAGTCTTCTTAGGGAAACGATCTCTGTTTAGGTGGAATGGCGTCAGAGCCCGGAGCTAGGCTGTAGGAAGAATTTTGTTGCAGAGTTCCAAGATTCCCAGTGTTAGATTCCCCTGGCTGGTGTCTTCTTTGACTAATGACTATTGCAGATTTGTGTACTAGAGCAGACATCAAACAGGAATGACAGAGAGTTAATTCCCTGTGTATTTTTACCTAGTTCTTATTTTAACTCCTTTTTTAAGTGATGATATTTTAATCTTCTATTTCAGTATATAACTTCTTACTTTATAACTTCATACTCAGAGGCACATATAGAAGTGCACTTCTTTCTTGTGTAAAGATTGGTTTTGTGTGCATTATTTCTATCTTACTACCTTATTTTCTTTTGATATTTCTAACACCTTGATTATAAATGTCTTAATTTTTACGAAGGAGCATCATTTAATTTTTTAGTTTTTAAAAGGAAAACTAAAAAATTAATTTTTTAGTTTTTAAAAGGAATAGATTTAGTAATTGAATATTTTGAGAGTTTTTTTCATGAATTCTCTAAGATCTAAAATTATTTTTAAAAGGCCTAAAAGCTTGCAAATTGATTCTTTGAGACTCTGGTTTCTCTTCAGATCTTATAAACCTTTTGCCTTTTACAAATCGATTCTTTGCAGAAAAAGTTTCAAAAAACTTTTAATTTATTCCTTTTCTGCCTCCACAGCATATGAGCCAACAGACTACTAACTAACCTGTCAAGTCTGAGACTAGTAAACTAAGTTTACTAGATTCTATGGGGAGCTGGTTCACAGAAGCAGCTGTGATAAATTGTACACTTAGAAAAGTTGTTTACAAACGAGGCTCGGTGGCTCAGTCCTTAATCCTGCGCTTTGGGAGGCCGAGGTGAATGGATTGCCTGAGCCCGCAGGTTCAAGACCCGCCTGGGCAACTTGGCGAGACCTCATCTCTACAATCAATCAAAAAATCAGCCGGGCGTGGTAGCGCGCGCCTGTAATTCCGGCTACTTGGAAGGCTGAGGCGGAATAATCGCCGGAGCCCAGCAGGTCGAGGCTGCAGTGGCCGGGAGTGGCCACTGCACTCCAGTCTGGGTGACAAAGTGAGACTCCAACTCACAAAAAAAAAGAAAAAAGAAAAGTTGTTTAACATCATTTTTGTCAGCTCATTCTGTGTCTTCAAAGTATCAGGAAAGAAAATTTTCCACAAACAGAAAACATGGAAGAAAAAAGTCTTTACTGGTATCATTTTGTTTGTACACGGAAAGTATACTTGAAAAGTTAAATGAAAACATTTATATAGGAACAGTTTTTTTCTTTTGTATTTTCTTACAAAAAAATTAAAGCTTTGTTGCCAGTGAAGAAACTTAGGGTGCCAAGACATAATAAGAATAATGTCAAGTGTTGGAAATCTTGCATCAGACATTTAAAGGAGGGGCATTAATTATTGATAGCTTATTGCATACTCAGAGTAATCCAGATGATGTAAAATTTCTAATCGTGAAACATGGAAATTTTGTAGATTTAGTGTAGAAGTCTATACTGATAATTTCTGAGATTTATATAGCAATTAACTAGTAGTAAGTACCACAGGATTTTGATTTGTGGATCGTGTGTCCATTGTTTCATATAAGTGACTTTATTTCTCTTTACTTTTTAGATTTGTGCTTTTCCATGTGCTTTCTTTCTCCTCAAGTTGACTTTTTTGTTTAGTTTAATTCAATAAGCGGTTAATGAGCTTATTATGTTTACCACTATATTAGGTCCTATATTCTATTTTATATTTTTATAAGTTCTTATTGCATGTATTTGTAGAACCATTCTTTTCTTATTTTCTAGATGAAATCTTAATATGTCAATCAAACATAACAGTATACACGTCTAATTTTGATTGGCTCTTATTCACAAACATGTTAATACTAAATATGGATAGATAACATAAGCACAATTTAATGCATAAAATTGTGCTTAATTTATAAAAATATAATTATTAAAAATTCAGAAGTAATGTAGTATATTAGAAAGAGGTAAGATCTTATATGCTACAATAAACAGGGGTTTCAGTTCTATCTCAAGCATTTATTTAGTTTTGTGACCTTGAGGAATTTTTTAAACCTCTTTGATTCTCAGTCCTTAGCTGAAATGTGGTGTATTACTATCTATTTCATTTGATTGCCTTAAGGATTAAATTATATTATCTATTTAAAGCATATAACCATGTACAAGAAGCAGGGTTTTGGCCAGTGAATAAATATGCTTAAAACAAAAAATGCCTGTATATAATATAGCAAAAACATACAAATTTTTTACTAATTATATAAGCAAAAATTCTTATCAGGGTCTTTTTTCTTTCCAACCTGTATCCTCAAACACAAGGCTTATAAAGAGGTTTTCCATTAGAACACTTGATCTTTATTTAAGGTATATCTCTAAAATAAATGAGGCAAATTATATGTGTATTTCATTACCTTGACTAGGGGTACCACCTGGCTACCTAGGGGCTGTCTGTGCGCCACAGTTGTCAAGCTCTAAGAACATTGTCAAACTACATATAATTAGCTGTGTCCCTTGGGACACCTCACACGCCTCACACTGGCCAGCTTGCGTACATTAGCGGATGGCTAGTGAGTGCAGGCTGCTGCATGTGGGGGTGCCAGGTGTGAACACTTCACAACTTAGGAAGCACCTTTCACATCATAGACATTATATATTTGTATATTCATTCTGCAGTTCTCTAGTGTGTGACAATAAAATGTCCTATCCTGTAAGTGAGCATACAACAAGATTGTCTTATGGAAGAGTCACCTTTTCTAATTTTCACAGAGGTATTCTGTGTGCTAGTGATTGTTCTGCATGCCAGAATTTGGGTCTGGGGCCCCATGCTTTATAGTTTTACCACCTTGTGTATAGTGTCACTTTGATGCCTCTAAAAACTTGAGTTTTTACATTGAAAGATGTATGTTAATATTCATCTTGACTCTGACTCAATATCAAGAACGGAAAAAATCAGGTTGATATATATGGCCTTGGGAAGGGAAAGTATAGGATGTTTTTGAACATTTAATTCAAAATTACAGATATCATTTACTTAGGAAGCTCTGTCATTTTAAAAATGAATAGTAAACCTCTTCTTTTTCTTCTACGACTTCTACGACTTCTAAAAAATAGTAACTGTAGACTCAGGTGGGGATTAATGCTTATTTCTCTTGATAAGTTCCAGAAGTTATGTCTCCTGAGATGCTTTATATCAACAAAGAGGCTAGACTCTCCATTTCCACAATCATGTTGAGAAATAGAAGGTAGACAAGAATGTAGTTTTTCCCCTGTGCTGTTCAGCTATTACTGATGGAGTTTACAAGTCAGAGTTTGTGTTTCATTTTTATTGTACTTCTGCTGCCTCTGTTCTCTAATGCTTATTTTTAAAAATTTGAAACAATAAGAAAATGTATATGTCTTGAAAAACACTATTTTTTATTAATTCAGCAATCAGGTAATAAATATATTATATAATATGCCTTAATATAATATGCTAAGATACAATAATATGTAGTCTGTCTGTGAGGAAGCCTGTATATTTTAAGTCCAAGTCAGTGGCCCCATGGTGCTAAGATTCCTTCTACTAGACTGGATTTGCTTAGCCCTTTTGGAATGCTGATCTCAACCACCATTTGTAACCCCCTACATAAGTGGTAGAAACATTTGGAGAAACTATAGTAAAGTTAGGCTTTAGATAAGCATCTTCATGGTAGTGTTTTAAATATGTCCATATGGGATGGTAGAATGAAAACTAATTATTTAAAATAAGCTTACTCCCAATTTTAAATGGCTTACTTAAATATTAATTGAGCAAACAGAAGTATATGTACTGAGCTGATATGTTGGCACACACCTGTAGTCCCAGCTACTCAGGAAGCAGAGGCAGGAGGATCACTTGGGTCCAGGAGTTCGAGTCCAACCTGGGTGATATATTGAGACCCTGTCTTGAAACAACGTAAAAAATACATGTCCCAACCAATTTTTAAAATGACAAACTTGCTGAACCTGGGACATAGTCTTATAAATTTACTATGATTGTCTCATATTTCCAAATTGGTTATGCCGTTACCATTCACCCATAGGGTCCAATAACTCATTTATGGATGGTTTTCATAGCTTTGGAAATTATATTGGTAAAAGTCCATTAGACCAGGTCATAGAGTGAAACTCTGTGATGTTTGATCATTTAATCTTTTTTTATATTCAGACATTTTTCTTTTGGTTTTTAAAAAGAAATGCTATGTGTTCTTATGAGCTCATAGATTGCTTCATCATTTATAGCTACATTCAATTCACATTTTTCATAGTATTTCACCCCCTTTATTCTTGCAACTTGAGAAGTATGTTTCTTGGGCAGAATTTTACCATTTGCTGGACTGAGTTACATTCGGTATTTAGTAGCTCTCTTTGAAATAAAGATAAGTTAATCTCTTCTGGATTAAATCTTTAAGTAGTAAGGCACTGACTAAAGATGGGAAGGGCTTGCCCAGCATATTAGTTGTAAAGCACAGTAAGACAATAACCTTGCAGATAAAGCATATCAAATATGTATTTAGAAACTGAGGCAGTTAATGTTATTTGTTTGGTGACTTCCAAAACTTTATTCATGGTCGCCAGCATAAAACTGCTCTATTACTTGACAGATACTTTTGATCTCACGTTAAATAATTTGGTCACAAGTGTTGAGGATGACCTTAAAAAGTAGAAATTTATATTTACCATAAAACCATTTTCCCCTGTACTTATCTGCCACATTTGGACTCAGGGCCTCTTTTTGTCCGTCATAGTTAATGTCAGTGCAAAAAGTTTAGTAACCACCACTTACATTTCAGTTAGACTCCTTCCAGTTTGTGTGGCTGCGTATGATTCAAGAGAATCTGCAGACACGAGCTCAAGTCCTGACCCTGTGTCCTGCTCCCAGGGGAGCATGGTCTTTTCACGTGCTCTAGTAGGTGCATCCTATGAGGTCTCAGAGACATCTTCTTAAACGAAAGGCTAAATGATATATTTTTTGCTTCTTTTCACTTAAGGCTTTTGACACCTCTTCAAAAGCATAATTAGTGAAAAATACATGTTTCGTGGTTTCTTGAAAGTTTTAGCATACTATATTGCAATAAACAGACTTAAGTCTTGATTTCCAGAGGCTACATAAACACTTTTGCTGCTGTCGTTTTTTCCTAACTCAAGATGCTCAGTCGAAAAGAAGTTTGGGGGCCAGGTTCTCACCTGTCATCTCAGCCCTTTGGAAGGCCAAGGCAGGAGGATGGCTTGAGGCCAGGAGTTCAGGACTAGTCTAGGCAAACAGGGAGACCTTGTCTCTACATTAAAAAAAAAAAAAAAAACCCAAAGAAATTAGCGAAATGTGACATGTGCCCATAGTCCCAGCTACCGGGAGTCTTGAATCAGGAGGATGGCCTGCGCCCAGGAAGTTGAGGCTGCAGTGAGCCATGGTTATGCTGCTGCCCTCCAGAGTGGGTGACAGAGTAAGACCCTGACTTAAAAAGAATAGAAGAAGTTTTGGGTTATATTTATCTTGAAATTTAGCCTAGCTCCCATCTTTTAGACAGGAGGTAATATTGGACTTCTGGGTCTTACTCCTCAGAAGTGGCACTTTAAGCAGCCGTTGCAAGAAGTGGCTCCCTTGCTTTGCTCTTGAAAAAAATGCGAAGAGGATCCTGCTGTGTTCAAACAGAGCTCGACTCCCTCAGTGCTTTTTCATATATGCACACTGTAGTAAATTATTTTAAAAGTTTAAGCCTTTGCCTTTTTCTTGTTATAATTATAGTTGTGATACATTAATCAGTCATATGTTTTACATACTCTTAATTCAAAACTTGATGCCCCTTGAATACTGTTGATTTTTTCAGTGTGAAATATATTTTATTCTATTTATGTTAATTATGTGCAGAACCACATATTCCTTCCAAATATCCATTCCCTGTCTCCATTACAAAAATAAAAATATCATTTACTATGTAAAGTATTGTGGTTCTTTGTTTACTTAAACTATAATGTACTTAAACTTAGAAGTGTTTTTTTGCTTTGGTAAAGAATTATTTCCATTTTATTCAATAGAATATTTTGGGTCATTCTATCTTGTTAAATTCTTCAGTTTATGTTGGTTGTATGTGTGTGCATGTCTGTGTTTCTGCTTTTTTTCTTCTGTCTAAATTCTCTTTCATTGAACAAAGTTGTAATATTTTTATTTTAAAAATAAATAACATTTAAAATTACAAGAGGTATGTAACCATCAAATTCTTACCTCCTAATGATTAACTGAATTTAGTTAGCAGAATTAAACTCAACCTAAAATTGTAGAGTTAATTTTATATTTTATGGACATTAAAATACCCTATCAAACACACATACATGATAGTATAATATTTATCTGCTCATTAAGTAGAAATAGGAAATCACTTTAAAAGTTAAAGTTGGTTCTGAATTATTATTGATGAGGGTGGATTATAATTTGGAGCACCTGATTCAAACAGTCCTTCCATGCACCTCTTTTGTGACATATCTGAAAACTCTCTTTATGTGCTTCAGTTTGTCTCTAAATCAGAGTTAATATTTCTTGTGTTATCCAGCTTGCAGAAATGTTATAAAAGTCAGGTGTGATAGTAAATTTCAAAATGCCGGGAAAAGATGCACACATATACATATTTATAGACATAATCTTAATTATGTTTCATCACTGTGTGACTTGGTCGGTGTCTCCTGTTTTGTGCACTAAATGGATAATTTTAATATCACTAGCTAACACTTCCAGAATGCTCACTTGTGCCAGACACTCCTCTAAGTACCATCTGCATATTAACTCATGTGATTATTAGAACAACCCTTAAGGACTATCATTTTGTTCATTTTACAGATAGAAAGTGACACACTGAGAAGCTAAGCATTCTGCCCAAGATTATACAGCCGTGAACACCAGGTCCAGGATTTGAACCCCTCCTGGCTCCAGAGCCTTAACCATATGTTATATGAATCACAGAGACTTAGATCGGTAGACTGGGCTAGATGTGGGATTTCTCTCCTAGGTTCAGAGTCCATCCTATATAAATGTCATGCTACGTTGAGGTATTGAGTTCCCCACATGCGTTCATCACTTCCAATTTTTAAAAAAATCCAGCATGAATCAGTTTCAGATCAGTAAGACATGTACATGTCCATGTGTTGTGCAAGTTTATAGTGGCACTGAATTTATTTATTAATAAAGTGTTTTTCTAACACCATCGTAAGTTTCATGGCACATTAATTTCTGGAGATTTTCTTGATGTCCATTTGTAGCTTTCGTGTTAGTGTGAAGTTTCCTCTACAACTAGTAGTAATTCTTAAGTTTGCATGCTACTGTCTCTTCATTAATGATTAGCACATTGATAGATTATCAGTTAATATCATCTGCAAAATAGTATAAGTTGTATAGGAAATAATAAACAGTTTAACCATGTATAAAATCCCTTTAGCCCTGTGTATTGCCTGATATTGAGCAAAGTTACAGTAGAGAGACCAAGATTATTTTGTTTTTATTTTGAAAGGCCTACAGTATGCAGCCTTTCTCCAGGACAGCAGCCCCAAACAAGGTGAACTAATTTTGCACTATGTTATTTTATTTTAATTCTGCTTTTTTTTTTGTATTACATTTCTGTCTTACTTTAGGCTAGTTTAGTTAACTCTTGCTAGAATTGTTTGTTAAAACTATGCTATCTTTACATCGCTTCTAGTTTTGAATTTTGTGCTAGTAGGTTTGCTTCTTAAAAGCGTTCTTGTTTTGAAGTGGCATTTCACATGTGCTGTTGTTACTCAGGGTGTCTCTGATGACATCTGGTGGAATCCAGTGAAAATGCAAACTTAGCTTTTTGGCATCCATGATTATTAGTCAAAGCACTATGTAAATGATTTCTGTTTACTAAAAGACAAATTGTAGGCAACTCAGCCTATAATAAACATGCGTCATTTATACCTCAGAAAAATATTTCCCAAATTCAGAGTCTAGTAACTTTTGAACTTTTGCATGTTTTATATACTCTGAACAGCTATTGCCATTATTTAAAGATTGAACAGCACTATCTCCCCTTCCCATACTTTTTTTTATATCAGAGAATGGAGCTATATGCCATCATATAAACATATCCAGGTGTTTATCTTTTACTTCATTTGAATCATACGTTCCTTTCTATAATTGTTATAAAAAACTAGATGAACTAGCCCTATCAAAGAAAGATCCATCTTCATCCTCATCTCACTGGCGGTTGGAGAAGGGAGGGATGAGATGAGGTGGGGAGTGAGGAGGAGGGACGGGAGTCACACCCAGAAACGTGCTCTTGCTTCCTTTTCTTTATGAGCCACGTAACTGCCAAAGCATCGCATGAGGATGGACTAATGTAAAAAGTCCAAGTGATGACAGATGGCAGTTTCTGCCGTTAATGTTGAGTCAAATGGGAGCCACTAAAATCCTTTAAGAGGTTTTTAAGCAGCTATGAGGGAAATATTCTGAAATACTTCGTTTTAAATTTGGAAAGCATTCTGTTAATTATAAGTGGAGCGAGAAAAAAATAAAGTAGAGCAAGAGATCTCATCTCCACCAAGCCTAACTTATCAATGATTTTTATATAAGAATTGACAAGTTGAAATAGGTAAAATGCAGCTTACATACGAGCTACCTCAAATGAATGGATACATCTATGACTGCTGTTTTCATACAACCAAGCACCACACACACACATACTATGCCTATGTGATGCCACTGTGTCGAACTTGTGGAGTAGATTTTTTTCTGCCAGGCTCAGCCAGAGTTCTATATAAAATCAGTTTTTCTTATTGCAGTCCAACTGAAATTACTCCACCAAAGTGAGTTTACAGAGTTTATATATCTGCAGCAAATAACTAAAAGTGGTTGTGTCATTTTCTTGATTACTTTGGTCAGTAAAGACTACCAATTTCTTAACAAAAAGCAAGTCAGAAAGGTTATATGTTTGCAGGATTTACATTATAGCTATAACTCTGAATGTGGGTTGGCAGGCATGAATTTTGGAGCATTCATGAATCTCTTCCCTTTTGAAGGAGTAAATAGTGGCACTTACATACAGTCAAGCAATGATACATTTGAATTTAGTTTCTAAAGAAGTTGCTGCTGACCAAGTGAGTGCTATATAGAAGCTCATTTACTAGGAGATTCTTGCCATCAGAAAAAACAAGAAAGCTGCTCAACCTTGGAAACAGTGTAGACAATGAGTAGTAGAAAGAAAGATGATGGCAGAGCCCAAGTTTGGATATCAGGATCCCCACTGGAAGTGGCCTTGACTATGCTACCTGTGGGCTTTACCCTTGTTCACTGGGTTACACCTACAAATGAAGATTTAGAATTAGGCCATCACTCTTAATGTATTTTGAAATAAAAGCTATGAGTGATATTTATGAAGAGTGAGTTCTAAACTAAGAGAACTTTTAACAGTCTATGTATATTTAAATGGTGTTGGCTGTACAAAAAAAAGGTGTCAAAAATAAGAACATGTTGAAGAATATCTGTGTACCCGCAGTCATGTTCTTTTATTTCTAGGAACAGCCACAATCAGGAAATAAGCCTACTTCCGTTTTTGCTTTCTATGGTAATCTCCTTTGGACAATGTGATTAAATCTTTAGTTTCACGTTTTCAATTTATTTTTCCAAATTCAACAGACTCTGAAAATCTGACAACCTATCAGAACATGGACATTCTGATTAATGGTTATTATTTTCAATAAAGCATCCAATTCCATGGATGAAAAGATAAGAATAGTGAGCATCACCATTTATTACTATTCTCTCTGTTCCCACAGTGTGCCAAGGAGTTTTATATATATGTATATACACACACATATATATTTAAAGCAGAATAAAACAAAGGTTTGTTTATTTGAAATACTAAGTTATAGATTGGTTTGAGGTACTCAGCTTACTGAAGAAGTTATTCCTTAGGTTACATTTAAAAATGAAAGATAATATTAGAACTGAGATTGGCTTTGGACTTATTTCATTTTGGACTGGTTTTGCTATCAGATCATCTTAAGATATTTCTGAATATTGATACTGTCTAGGAAAGATTTTAAACATTTAAAGCAGTAAATTTCTAGGTGTTTTCCCTCTTGTTTTAACACAGTAAATGTCTAAAATTGTTTATAATGCCTAACTTCTGATGGACTTTAGTTTCAATTTTGTTCTTAGTCATTGCAGATACTGACAAAATGTCATACGAAACTATTTTGTATTTTTTGTAGGACTGGGAAACAGAAAATCATGACTGGTATTGTTTTGAATGCCATTTGCCTGGAGAGGTGTTGATATGTGACCTGTGTTTTCGTGTGTATCATTCCAAGTGTTTGTCTGATGAGTTCAGGCTTAGAGACAGCAGTAGTCCCTGGCAGTGCCCAGTTTGCAGGGTGAGTACCTATTGAGCTTTCCTGTGCTGGTTAGAGGGTTGGAATTAATTCATAATAGCATCACAAAGATATCCCAGGTGGTCTTGCCAGGTGAATGGATGAAGACTGGAGGGTGGGGGTTATCTGCTGCAATGATGATACTCATAAATTGACATCACAGAACACAGACCGTATTTCAGAGTGTGGATTTTAGAAAGTTTTGATCACGTAAAAATATATTCTCGCCCCTCATTTCACACGTGCCCCTGGCTTATGTGGCTACTTTAATGGATAGCCTTTGGAAATCAGAAATACTGTATCATGCCAACATCTGTTTTATTAGTGTTTTATGATAAACTGCACAATTTTATGCCATTCAGAAAACAGTTAGCAAAAGGCACGTTGTGGGAAGCCTCTTATCTTCGTCTATCTCCCATTTTATATCCATGTAATGTTGCCTTTCTTTTTGTCATACCATGAGTCAGTTTGGTTTTTGCTTACATTTTATTTGGAGGGTGGAGGGATGAGACAGTTGTGCACAAAGAACTCTCATTATTTAAAGCAAAACGAAATTGTCTGGTAGGTAAAATAGGTACTTTCCACAATTACTGTCATTCATCGAAGAATGAAGAATTATTTTCATTCATTTACCCCACTGAAGAAAATACATGCTGTGACTGTTGGTTGCAGAATGTGGTATGTCTGTGCACAAGAGTGATGTGTGATGACTAAATACTGCATTATATGTGACATTAATGACAATGAGTAAGGAATTGCTTGACTACAACTTCCATTGCTTTGTACTTACTAGTATTAAAGTACTTATTTGGAACACGCAAACTGTCTAGATTACTTCTAAGTTCAGTCTGTGAATATGTTTTGAGTAATTTAAATGCTCCTTTACTGTTCCAAAAACAGTTTTGTTTTCATATTTTCCCCTCTTTGACATTAACCAAAAATTTCCTATTCCCAGTGTACATTCTAGTCTTCCCCTAGTGACTATGGCTTTGTATTACCTGTGTGTACTTAATCTCATCTACGCTATTCTATGTGTTCAGCAGGCAGGCAATAGACAGTGGGGATAGCATCAAAAAAAGTTTAATGATGACTAACCAGTTAAATACCCAGGGCAAATAAGTAATGGTAAGTCCCTAAGTCTGAATATGTCAGTTTTAAGCTGTAGACCTCCTCTTTGAGGTCTGTAAGAATGAGTGATGTCTACAAGAAATTAGTATAAGTGGTGGTCAAAGTAGTCACAATTTTAAGCAAAGGAGCTGCATTAATATTTACATTTTTTGATGGGTTTGGATTGTACATTTTAAAAGCAAATATATATCTCATGTTTTCTGGTAAAAATTTACTCTAGGGGAAGTAAAAGAATAGTGAACTCAAGAAAGAAGAAGCGGTGTCACTAGTCAAAAAAGGAATGTAATATGAATGTAGGAATTAGGAAATAGTTTCTGCGTACACCTGTGTTTTTATAGCCATAGCTTTTCATATTTAATATTTAATCCTTATTTTTAAATAATTTAAACAAAAATACTGGGACTTTTGAGAACAGGTTAAACTTCATTGTAGATGTTTTACATTTCTTATGTTAACAATGGCTATTGTACAGTTAATCTTTGAAGAAAACTTGTGATACTTCTTCCACATAATTCAGTATTAAGTTGTCAGATTCTGTTTTCTATAATGTATTTGCTCTACTCTTTACTGTTTAGCCTTTTTAAAAAGTGTTACAGTGTTATTGACAAAGGCAGAAACATGCTTGCCCTGTCCTATTCTTTTCTTCTCTTTGGCTTTCTTCTTGCCTTTGTCAACCAATATTCTATACTGTGATATAACTGGGCTTACTGAAATGATGCTGTGAGTCAACACAAGTTCTTGAATTATGTATTTATTTTATATTCTGTGAGCTACTCTTGTAGGGCTCAAAAAACCTTTTGTTGTTTCTTAGGTTGAGGATAATTTGGTCTTTTTTTTAGTTTTCAAGATTTGGGGTGCAGTTCAGGGTTAGGGACATAAGTGGTCATCGTGCTGGGAAAGTTTGAGTACTCTTGTCAGTGTTATGCCCCCCGCCCCCGGGAGTGTCTTGCTACCGCCAATTCCTTTTGTAGAGTATTATGATAAATGTTCAGAGCCCAGTTATGAGCGAGAACATGTTGTACTCAGATCTTCGTTTCTGTGATAAATCACTGAGTATTATAGACTCTGAATCCATCCAAGTTGCTGCAAAGTCTGTAATTTTGTTTTTCTTTATGGCTGTGTACTCTTCCATCGTGTATACGTACCACATTTTCTTTATCCAGTCCACTTTCGATGGGCAGTGTGGTTGGTTCATTTTTTTGCTATTGTGAATAATACTGTAATAAATATACATGTGCTGGTTTATTGCAGGTATCTTTTTCATAGAGTGATTTGAGTTCCTCTGAGTATATTCCCAGTAGGAAGATTGCTGGGCCATACTGCCTCTGTGGAAAACTGGTGATTTCTAAGAGAGTTTTATCTTACGCTTTAAAATTTCCAAAGAAATAGTACTTTCTGTTAGATCCATTCTGTTGATTTATAGTTATGTTAAGAAAAAGATAAGTGCTAACAATTCCTATTGTGGAGAAAGGGTAATAATAATATTGAAATCCGAATGGAATTTTAAATTTCTTTAGGTAAAGTTTTTGGTTGGTTTGCTTAGTATAAAAACTTTTATTAAAGCCATTTTTAATAATTTAAGAAGAAAGTGATTGACTATATTTAATATTCTTGACTAAGAGAACATCAGGTCTATAGACTGAGACTTAAGAACTGTGGTTCCAGCTGGGTGTGGTGGCTCATGCCTGTGATCCCAGCACTTTGGCAGGTTGAGGTGAGAGGATTGTCTGAGCCCACCGTTCAAGACCCGCCTAGGCAACTTGGTGAGACCTCACCTCTACAATAAATCAAAAAATTAGCTGGGCTTGGTGGCATGGGCCTGTATTTCTGGCTACTTGGAAGGCTGAGGCGGAAGGATCAACTGAGCCCAACAGGTCGAGGTTGCAGTGGCTGTGTGGGCGACAGTGAGACTGCAACTCAAAAAAAAAAGAACGTGGGATTCCATATCTGAATAACTTTCCTTTCTACTCTATTTTTTTGTTTTTAACTAATGCTTAGAAAGAGTATGGATTAATTAGATAAAATGATAAGGAATTTTGAAGATAAGATGCCATGGCCAAAAATAGTAAATTGAAGCCAACTATTACTGCCTAAAATTGAAGATTAAAATAGGCCCTTTTCTAATATTTTGCAGTGATCAGAAGACTATTCCTTCTGTCCCTTACAATGTTGAAAAAGTCACTGAGAATAGGTTTTCTGCCCCCAACTGTCAGCGTTGTTAAATTTAACTCAGCTCTAGCAGCTGTATCTTATAGATCTAACTATTTCTGAAATATTTTAAGAGGGCAATAATAGGCAATCTTCTCAATTAAAAATAATTTTATCAATTTTCTTAATTTAAAAATCTTACAACCTCAAGGATACTTCAAGAATGTTTGCCTTACTAAAAAAAAAAAAAAAAGCTTTTACTTTACAGACATAGTAGATTGTTATTGAAAAGTAGCCTATTAATATCAGATTAGATTTGGGTTTGAAAATTTTTGAGTAATGTCTAGTTTCACATTCTCATTACAGAGAACGCTCATTAATTTTTTTAAAAGAGATTTTAAAATTATTTTAAGAAGTTTATTGTGAAAACATTCAAATAATTTAGAAGAGGAGAAGAAAAACAGAACTCTCTGACATAGCAGGAAATAGTCTCATAGTGTCTGTGTATCTGCCTATTTGCATCTGTAACTGTGTAATATTCCGTGTAGTTACTTTCCACTCAGCAGTGTCCCAGGCGTCTTTTTGTGCTTGTTACTTAAAGGGCGTGCTCTAAGTCCCTTGGCCAGTTCCCTGTCGACACACACCCGTAGCTTCCACTTCACTGCACCGAAACTTTTCCTTTTTTTTTTTGAATTGGAGTCTCACTCTGTCGCCCAGACTGGAGTGCAGTGGCCGTTCCCGGCCACCGCAGCCTCGACCTGCTGGGTTCCGGCGATCCTTCCGCCTCAGCCTTCCAAGTAGCTGGAACTACAGGCATGCACTACCACGCCTGGCTAATTTTTGATTTATTGCAGAGATGAGGTCTCGCCAAGTTGCCCAGGCGGGTCTCGAACCCACAGGCTCAGGCAATCTACTCAACTCAGCCTCCCAAAGGCGTGGGATTACAGGCTGAGCCACAAAGGTGATATTTACATGCTTTGGCAAAAATCATGCCCATTTCCACTTTCTGAGGTGGAGTCTTCTCCTTCTTACTTATTTCTGCATGAGATTGGCTTATTTTTTATTTTGTTTTAATTTATTTGAATTTTACTTTTCTAAGATAGTTATGAATCACCCAGGAAAAAAATGAGAAAATTGCTTTTAAGATTTTCTTTACATAAAGGAAATACCTTTAAAACACAGTATGTTATTGTGTGGGTTTTTGTTTGTTTGTTTTTATTTTTTGTAGAGATGGGGTCTTGCTATGTTGCTCAGGCTGGTCTCGAATTCCTGGCCTTAAGCAGTCCTCCTGCCCCAGCCTCTCAAAGTGCTAGGATTACAGGTGTGTACCACTACACCCAGCCCATTACATTTTTTAAAGAAAAAATTCATATAATTCTGTCTGATCACCTTTGGTAGGACAAGTTTATTGGCATGTAATTCTTAAATTTAAAGGATAGTATGCACATTTAAATTTTTGACAAAAATCACAAACTGTCATTCCAAAGAGTATACCCATGTATGTCAACAGCATATGAAAGTATTTTTAAATATTTTGTTTCCAATTTGATTGAATAAAAATGGATGTCTCATTCTAATTTTGCTTCATTTTCATGTGGATAGTTTCCAGATTATAAACTCATTTTCTTCTTTGATGCTGTGGTTAGAAGCAGGTCTGTGTGTGCTCACACGTGTGTGTACACGTATGTGTATATATCTGTTCATGAACATGCACTGCACGCTTGCCT